CCCTGAACCCTCGCCTCTCTGTGCTGCTTCGTTCTGGTTATCAGAACATTTTGTCATTCTCCCATTGTTTTATGTCTCTCTTTCTGTCTGTTTCCTTCCCCTCCATCTGTCTGTTGCGTCAGGCTTTTAAGCAGCTTGCTGGAGAGGTAAATACATTCATTGTGCATGGTGTTTTGCTGTAGTGTCTCTAGGTCTGCCATGAAAAGGAGATCTGCATGCTGTTCAAAGCTCTGCTCAACTTTACCCTGATGTTTATCTGATGTCTGATATTCATAGTGTTAGAGCACTAACCTTAACACACATGAAGCCGCATATATGGATGAATCTCACTAAGAAATGTCTAGTTCATATTTGTATCTCTAAATCCAAAGAAAGATATTTTATAATGTAAATAATGCCTATGTTTTGGGCCTCTTTATTGCACTGGGGAAAATCATCCTGTATAGATTTTTTTAAATACATATATATTAAAATAATTTAAGTAAAACAAATACTGCTAGAATGATGTATACTTTCAGTTGTACTTTACAAATTTATTAAAAAAATTAATTACATATATATATTTTTTAAATAATGAAACCTTTTTCACATGACGAAACCAGCTGAATCGTTAAGCTTGGCAAATGATGATGGTCATATTATATATGTTTTTTGAAAGCCTTCATTTGTATGTTTATTCCTTTACAAAGACAGTTATGAGTTATTTTAAACATGAGATTTTATTTTCAGTAATAATATATAAAAACATGGTAAAAAATGAATCAAAATGTTACAGTGAGACACTTAACAATGGAAGTGAATGGGGCTTAATTGTGATGAACATGTCAGAATCCCAAAAAATTGTAATAGTTCTACAGTAGTTTGCTGGTAACACTTTAAAATAAGGTTCTATTAGTTAATGTATTAACTAACATGAACAATACATTTATTACAGTATTTATTAATATTTGATAATGTTAATGAAATTACAGTCGTTCGTTGTTAGTTCATGTTAATTCACAGTGCATTAACTAATGTAAGTAAAAACATATATTGTGAAATATTACTGAAATACAATTTAAAATAACTGTTTTCTATTTTTATATATTTTGCTGAATTTTCAGCAGCCATTACTTCAGTGTCACGTGATCCTTCAGAAATAATTTTTATATGCTGATTTGCTTATTCTGTGATAAATAGAAAGTTCAAAAGAAGAGCAATATTGTTTTGATTTTGAAATATGGGCTAATCAGTTCGTGAGAGATTCATCCTCTTATAAGCTCTTGCACACCTCAAGTATTTCAAATGATGGCAGTGCTGGTTTTGTGCTGTTTTTCTCTTTCATTCAGGGACGTCTCAGTAGAACTGCCTTTTGTCTTAATGCATCCAAAACCCACAGATTCCACCCTTTCACAATCAACCTCAGGTTTGTGCTGAGAAATTACTAAACACAAAACACCTCATTAATTGCACTAAATAGGCTGCATGGAACTGTGGCAGGACCTCCTTTATTAAGTTACTGTTACTTTTTTGTTCAACAGCTGCTCCAGTGTTGGATCCACCAATTGACACCAACTTGATAGAGTTTGACACAAAGTAAGCAAGAGATTTTTTTAAAAAAATTTTTATATAAACATTAAGCATAATGATCATGTATCTCTCTTGTTTTAAGCTTTGTTTTTTCTATGTTACTCTTTCTAACAGCAGTTTCACCCCAGATGACGACATTGTATTCGAGGACTTTGCTCGCTTGCGGTTAAAAGGAATAATCGACAAGGAAGAGGACTGCTGAATTTATCATCTCATTCATCATGAACAGAAGCGCTTCTCATTAAATTGTGCATCTCATCTCCTCAGGGGTGTAACAATGAAACAATTCTCATCTCATTACGAAAGAAGCAGTATTGGGATATTTTACTGAAAACTGGAGAAACTTAAAAGACTAATTAATATGCATATGAAAAGGTAATGAAAGTGAAAAAGTGAAAGTGAAGTGACATGTGGCCAAGTACGGTGACCCATACTCAGAATTAGTGCTCTACATTTATCCCATCCAAAGTGCACACACACAGAAGTGAAAAGTGAAGTGACATGTGGCCAAGTATGGTGACCCATACTCAGAATTAGTGCTCTACATTTATCCCATCCAAAGTGCACACACACAGCAGTGAACACACACACACCGTGAACACACACCCGGAGCAGTGGGCAGCCATTTTTTTGCTGCGGCACCCGGGGAGCAGTTGGGGGTTCGGTGCCTTGCTCAAGGGCACCTCAGTCGTGGTATTGAAGGTGGAAGAGAGCGCTGTACATTCACTCCCCCCACCTACAATCCCTGCCGGTACGAGACTCGAACCCGCAACCTTTGGGTTACGAGTCCGACTCTCTAACCATTAGGCCACAACTTCCCCACTCCCCACTTAATGAAGGAGGGGATTCCAGGGAATTTCATATGTTTTTGCATAGGCATGTAAAATTATATCTCTGAAATTGTGCCAGCTCTTATGTTATGAACAGCAAAATGGTGAGATTTGCTCCATATTTATTCCTTTACAAAGATGGCCATGAATTTTCATGTGATCTATATACAGTATGGACAGATGGATGGTTTCATTGACATGGGCTGTGCATGTTTCTCAGTGCTGCTGTGAGGATCATGTGTGATTGAGCACAGGATGTTAATATATGAAAGTGCTGCTTTTAATTTGTTGGACTGCTGCATTGGTTAAAAAAAAGAAAAGTAAATGTATAGAGATTTAACATCCTTCAAGAGAAAGGAAATTTGTTGTGTTATTACAATTTTCATAAATACAGCATACACTGTTTGCCATTTTATTTTTTATTTTAAAACTGAATTTATTTAATTTTTTAAAATAAAACTAATAGAAATACAACATGGCTGTGTTACTGTGTTATTAAATATGCATATTAAGAATAAGCTTTATTACTAACCTCTGAGGTTTTTTGTAAAATAATCTCCAAAAGCATAGAAAAATAGCCAACAACATAAAATTCACATTCATAGATAAGCAAGTCTTGAGAAGGAGCGCGTTGAGTTTTAGACTCTGTCGGGTTGATTTCTGAGCTGCTGTTGGCTGCACGAGATCTGACACGAGACCGCTTCTTCAGTCGACCTGCCAAACATTGCCACCTAGTGGACGATAAATGAATTGCAAATCATTGATGTGCAAAGTCATTGAAGAAACCGTAATAAAATATTAATAGAATTACATTCACCTTTCTTGTATTGCATTGTACTTATTAATCCTCTCCGCTTCCTCTTTCTTCTCCTCTAACCAGCGGTCGAGGAGCTGCTCGTTCTGGAGGTTTGCGGCAGTCAGCTCCTCTCTGAGTGAGCTGTGCTCCAGTCTCAGTGCTGTCAGTTCCTTAGATTGACACTCAAACTGATACTCGTATTCCTCCAGATTGGCCTTCAGACAGAAAGCCCCCTGGGCCAATACAACCGCTTCGGTCCTGTAGCGGGCAACTCTATGGCAGGAAGACATAGAGGCCTATTAGGACTGCTTGTCTTGATGATTTTGTCATCTTTTTCAAGATGTAACTGGCTGTTCGACCTACTGTGAGTGACAGTATTGTAACTCTGCCTCCTTCAGGTATATATTGCTGGTCAGATCTGAGATTTTCTGCTTGAGCTAGAAAAAAACAGAAGAGGAAGGATATTCCATCGTTAGTAGTAGTGATAGACTATGGAAACTGATACATTGTTTCAGGATTCTTTGATGAATAATGTTCAAAAGAACAGAATTTATTTGAAAATATAAGTATTTTGTCACCTTATAAATGTCTTTACTGTCAGTTTTGATCAATTTAATGCGTCCTTGTTGAATAAAAGTATTATTTTTAAACCTTTGTTTCCAAACATTGAATTTTTTCCAAAAATATTAGGCAAACCAACTATTTTCAACATTGACAATACTAAGAAAATACATTTTTACAGAGCAGCAAATCATTAGAATGAATTCTGAAGGATCATGTGACACCGAAGACTGGAGTAAAATATATTCAAATGTAAAACAGTCATTTTAACTGTACTATTTCACAGTATGACTGTACTTTACTGTATTTGTGATCAAATGAATGCAGACTTGATAAGCATTAGAGACTTCTTTCAAAAACATTAAAAAAGCTTAATTATGAAGTAAAAACTAATTTCATATAAATTAAGCATAACCGAAACCTTAGTTAAATGTACAAATGACAAAGTTATGCACAAAATCCCAAGATCTGGTGGGAAATAAAATATTAGTTATTGCAATAAGGCAGTTTATTACTGATGTTTATTGTTCTGAATATTACTCTCACCTGTTGATTAAGAAATTCCAGCTCATTCACTCTCAAAGAAATCATCTGGGATCTAGAGCTTCCATTTTCTTTGGAACTGAGGAAAATATGACAGCAAACAAAACACAATAAATTGAAATGTATGGCAAGTGCATATACCAGGTTATATGCATAATCTATTCTAATCCATTCCAAGAAGTCAAGAAATCAAATCAGTACTAGAATAGATGTCAGGTACTGTTTGTCTTACCTGCACGTGTCCATGTCTTGCCAGAGTTTCATGTGAAAGGCCAGCATCTCCTCTAGCCTCGACACTGTCAGAGCATCCAGCCATTACTGAAGCAATACTGATAGCTTGTGTCTGTACATTTGTAATGAAACTCACCCTTGTCAAAAAGGCCAGAGAAAGGATCTCTCTGCCTACAGTCTCTGAGAAACAGCTCTGCCCGCACGTGACTCTTCCAGGACTCCATGGTCTGTGGTGGAGCTCAGTTAGACAATTCACCTATTTTACACTCTCTTATCCAATGTATTATTACAGCGTTTTCACATTAAATATTACGGGCGGTCCCAGATAACTCATTTCTATTTCTCTGTTGCAGATTTTCTCCAGACGTGGCGCGAATGGCTTTAATTACTAGTCAAACATAACCCATGTTTTGTTTCCACCAATGCAGTCTAGTCAACAGAGTTCGCGTTCTATTAATTTGTTCCGCTGCGGCTTCCGTAGTTCGCGACACACTGAGAGCGCTTTGTATGCTAGGCTACTGAGTATCTCGTCAAGTTTAGCCTACAGTGAATGAATGTAAGTAGCCTTAAAATTACATATTAAACATGGATTTCTGAGGTGCTTTTTAAATATTTAAGTAAATATACACTCGTTGTGTAGCGAACGTGTGTGTTTGTTTGTTTTTCTGCTGTTTCTGTTGAGCGCTCGTCTTTCGTCTTGTTTTCTCTTCTTCTGTAGGCTGTGTTCGCAATGGCGAATGACAGGCTGAGAGCGTTAGAAGATGTGGAGAAGGAGATTGCTTTAGTGCTGCAGAGCGCAGGTTTGTCACTTCATAAATGTATGCATGGGTTTAATTTCAGTAATGCTTAATATTAATTCAGACACTCGTATTCTGGGATTTGTATTCTGATTGCATTACCTTATAAATCCTGACGTAATCGTATAAAATATGATAAAACGTACAGAACTGACGTCCCTGCCGACAAAAAGCTTAAACCAGCTTAAAATAGTTTGTTGCTTATGTCCTAGAATAGCCAAGTTTGTATTAGCTGGTCGTACAAGGAAAAGCCTGTAAATCGGGGGTCACCAGACTCGATCCTGCAGAGTTTAGCTCCAACTCTAATAAACACGCCTGAATCAGCTAATCAAGCTCTTACTAGGGATACTTGAAGCTTCCAGGCAGGTGTGTTGAGGCAAAATGCACCAGTCAGTTAGGTTGCCAACCGCCAATAAACACCAAAAAGAAGAAGAAGAAGAAGTGTTGAGGCAAGTTAGAGCGAAACTCTGCAGGACACCGGCCCTCCAGGACCAAGTTTGGTGGCCCCTGCAGTAAACAGACCATCTGGGCCAGACCGGGAGACCAGCAAACCAGCTTATTGATGTTGTTTTATTTTAAATTAAGGGTTTTGTAATTGACATTACAAAATATACATATTTAAACCTCATCTACAGTGATAATATTTAGCATTTTTTATGTTTATTCAAGTAGACAAATTGAATAGTAACAATCTGTCTTTCAGGAACGATCGTTCTGGAGCTTTCTAAAGAGAAGGCCAATGCCAGTTTATTAGACCGACAGCTGAACCAGTTCCAGACCTCCATCAACAGAGTTGAGAGTGAACTGAGTGCACAGATCCGGTATCTGACACAGGTGTGTATGTGTTCACATCTATCTATCTATCTATCATTTTATCTATTGTTATATCATTCAATCTGTCGATCATTTTATCAATCTATCTATGCTGTATATATGTATAAAACATATCGAATTGGAGGAAACCTTTGACTATACCTCTGTGATGTGATGGACTAACTTCCTCCTTTTTTCTTTCTCTCATTCTTTGTTTTGAGTAAAGGTGGCAACAGGTCAGCCTCATGAGGGATCGACATACTCGGCCAGAAAGGACTGTCAGATGGCCCTAAACCGTTCAGAGTATGCCCGCGTCAAACTGGGAGAGCTGGGACGCACCTGTGAGATAATGCTTGACCCGCAGACGTAAAGACATATTAAATGGACTGTTGCTTTGTAATATCTGCCAGCTGACTTCATAAGTATCCACGTGCATCAAAACCTTTTTGAATACCGTCTACAAGCCAACAACACTTATTATTCTTCATATTCTAAGGAAATTTTCTTTGACACCCAGTGATTTGCTTACAATATCACCAAAGCTTTCCGAGAAGTCTTATTGAGAATTGTTACATGTTTTCTGATTTTCTGTTATCACTTTTTTTAATAGGTTTGACAAAAGAACAATAAAAAAATGTTTTCACTAGTATTTTATTGAAGGGAACATAAGACTCTCCATTCACATTTCTTGTGTTGTTCATCACAGTTGCGTTAATATCAAGTATACAGCACAAGGGTTGCAGGGTGTACTTCAATAAAATAACAGACATTTATATTACCACACAAACATTTAAACATTGAAATAAAAAAAAGTCAAACATTCACACATTCTACATCAGTGTTTCTCAACCCTGGTCCTGGGCGCCCCCCAGCACTGAACATTTTGTGTGTCTCCCTAATCAAACACACCTGATTCAACTCATTAGCTCATTAAAAGAAACTCCAGGACCTGAAATGGGTGTCAGATAAGGGAGACATACAAAATGTGCAGTGTTGGGGGGCACTCAGGACCAGGGTTGAGAAACACTGTTCTACATGAACACCAGCTACTATCATATGGACTCATAGTGTTTTATAGTGTCTTTTAGGTTCATCAGAAGACAACTGTTAAAGTAAAGACTTTCTGCTTGGTTTGTTTATTTATATCATAGGAAATGTGGAGCCAAAGATCTGCATATTTCTGGAAAATATAATACATAGCATGCATATATATGCACACCGCATGTATCTGTGCATATGTACCGTTTTTCATGATTATTTCACTTACACTATCAATATATCTTGTGTTTAGATTTTGACCCGAAGATGAACTGCCAAATATATCCAATTCAGACAATGTAACAGAACAAACTGTCCTAGATCATTGAGAAGTTTTTAAAAAATAAATAATTACGAATAATTGCTGTTGAATTTGAAATTGTTTGGGTTTATGTGACCATGTACTCCTGGCGCTTGTTAAGGCGAACCTGACAGAGAGACAATGCACCGACACCTACATAGATGGCAGCAGCAATGAAGCAGTTGATGCCAACTTGGTTGTAGAGTCCGTAAATGGTCTGCGGTGGATTCTTGCTGTTGAAGAAAAGAAAATTAACCAGTAAACATTTGCACGTAGAAATGTCATATCTGCCCATTCTCATTCAATGCATGTAGTCTATTCAAAATATATGCCCTCATTATACTTCAATTAATACAAAAATATTCACTACCATTCAAAAGTTGGGTTTGGTAAAATGGTTTAAATGTTTTGAAATAAGTTTCTTAGGCTCACAAAGGCTGCATTTATAGCAAAAATACGGTAAAACAGTAATATTTTGAAATATTACAATTGTACTGTTTTCTATTTGAATATATTTCAAATGTAATTTATTCCTGTGATAGCAAAGCTGAATTTTCAGCATCATTACTCCAGTCTTCAGTGTCACATGATCATTCAGAAATCATTCTAATATGCTGATTTGCTGCTCAAGAAACATATTATTATCAATGTTGAAAACATTTGTGCTGTTAAACATTTTTGTGGAAACCATGACATTTTTGCATGATGTTTGATCCAAAGAAAGTCCAAAAGAACAGCATTTACTTCAAACATTTTTTTTAAACATTATAAATGCCTTTACAGTCACTTTTGATGAATTGAGTGTGTCCTTACTGAGAAAAGAGAAAAAAAAAAACTTATTGACCCCAAAAAGGTAAATTATCTTAAAATATTTGATCAGATTAACTCACTCATCGCGGATGTCTTCCTCAGTAAATGGAACATCTTCGATCAGCACAGCAGATTTTGCACTGAAGAAAATTCCCAACATTGACTGAAAAAAAAATTATATTGTTGTTAATATTAAGACATTAGGTGGAATTAAATATGGATAGGAACCCAATACATATCTATGAACACACACACACAAAGAAAAGAAAAGTACTTAAAAATTGTCATGTCAACGCGGTAAAGAATAGCTATGAGGCCTTTAACGTTACATCCCATTACCGTTACCCCGACAACTGCTGTTTTATTCCTCATTTCAAATTCCTGGTATATCCTGCTGATAAATAGGTGACTGAACAGATCTATTTATGAACATTTATTATAAATGCATGCATTTTCTATCAGTGAAGATCAAAATACAGCAATATTTACTATTACTATATCGGTAAAATATTCCTGTCGTTTGGGGTGAATGCCATTAGCTACAGCTAGCAAGCAATGTCACGAAGACTATAATCCTTACCAGCATAATGACACCCCAGATGCTTAACACGATTCCACATGCGGCCAACTTGGGCCCACAGAATAAAAGCGACGGCATTTTATCCGCTTCTTCCTCTCAAAACTGGCAAAATGATTCTACATCCAGTCGGGATGACAATGTATATCGGCAGCACTCGGGTTTGTTCGACTAGCTCCGTAAGCCTATTCGACAGCGCTCGGCTATTTTCGCAGATCGTGTGCTATCATTTGATTGGCTATGCACTGACCAATCACACGCCTCATTTTCGAAGCGCATTGTACTCTGGGAATTTTTAGTACGAACTGTTATGTTCAGTTCATGCTGATTATAGAGACTTTTTTATTAGATAAATAATAAAGATAAAGATATTTTCATACGAAAGGTCACTGAATAACTGCAATAGTCATTTTAAACCGGTTTGATCGATTTAACTATTCAGCGTAGCTGACTGAGACTCGACTGGGTTGTTTTTGTATTCGTGTCAGGTCTGTTTATTTCAGCTCATCACTCCAGCATGACTTCAGCTTCCACGAAGGTAAACATTTGCATTTTGTTTTTGCATCATAAATAATCTTAAGTAATCGGTAAATAAAAAGCACATATACATGTCAATCAGGTGGGCGAGATCTTCTCGGCTGCAGGGGCTGCATTCTCCAAACTGGGTGAACTGACCATGCAGCTGCATCCGGTGGCGGACTCTTCTCCTGCAGGGTGAGACCGTGAGACGTGCTTTATGACCTCCTTTCTGCTCAAACTGCATCTCCTGCAGTATTTCAGATGTACTGTTGTTATTTAAGTGCAGTGGATATTTTATAACGGACTCTTTCTCTTTGCACACTGCTTCTCTCAGAGCCAAATGGACCGATACGGAGATCGAGATGCTGCGTTCTGCAGTTCGCCGCTTCGGTGAAGATTTGAACGGCATCAGCTCAGTCATAAAGGAGCGAACGGTGTAAGTGTTTATGAAGGTGTAGGTGTGACAGTTATTATAGCTGTATAATTGTCAGCTTTTTTTCTTTTTCTTTTCAAAATTAAAATACTAAAATTCTCTAATATTAGATGTAATATAGTCTAATTTTGTGGAATATAAAATGCTGTTTTATATGTATTTTTTTGTGACAGGATCAGTTTAAAAATGGGTATTTTACATTTTCATTCATTGTAACAATAGCTTATATACCAAAAAAATCTTGTCAGCATATTTAGAATAAGAATCATTAGATGACATTAAAAGACCTGTATTTAAGGATCACAGTGCGAGAACTAATTAATTGTAATTTTAAATCTTTACCAATCCTTGCTGCCACTGTCCTTCAAACCACTAGGTTTTAACCATTTGTCAGCAAGAAGCTTTTAATAATTTAATATATAATAAAATTTCATATGATCACTTTGTATTTTATACATTATATTAAGTACAGTTTAGAATAAGTATGTTTCATTTTTACATAAATATATATGTTACGCTGAATGGCGATGGAACATTATCTCACCCATATTTTGATTTCTTATTTTCAAAAGTTGTTTAAAATATTGAAGTAGACACTTTATTTGCATTTAATATGCTTTCTATGTATATAAAATCACTTTTGTAAATTTGTAATTTGATGCAGACACCGAAATAGTCCTTTGCAGACACGTTGTGTCTTTGACCCATATATAAAATCAATAAAAATGATATCAGAAGTCATTTATACATTCTGTAAAAGTTGGGGCTTCTTTCCCCAGGTATGGGGCCAACTTACCACAGTGGTGGGGTAAGTTGGCCTCTTTGAATAATTTTACCTTTTGTGATCTAATAACTATATTAGCAAATGTTTCTGTTTATTTTCTATAATAACACATGGGCTGACGCATCATCACATGCTAAACTATCTAAATATGTTACAAATTAAAAGCAAATGAACATTGTTCTTAAGGAGTGCATCTTCTCCTATCTAACCCTAATGCACCACACATCTCTCTGTCTCTCTTTTTCCTCATCATCTTGTAGCGCCCAGATTAAGACCACCGTGAAAAGGAAGCTGTATGAGGACAGCAGGGTTCCTCTCACTGCAGAGTCGCCTAAAAAAACGATGAAGAAAACCACAGTGACGCTACCGCCCCCTCCTGCATCAGTCACCCCCACAGTTATCACTTTGCCGACCTCACAGGTTGGCATGACAACTGGATTGCAGAGTTCTTCGTCTTTACAACCAGCAGTAAAGCACCCTAAACCAGCAGGTGACTCAGTTTTAATGGAAAAAGGATAACATTTTTTACAAAATAGCAATTAGTAATATTAGTATACAAGTGGTGTGGTTTTGTCTGTCAGCACACTTACACAGTTTGGCTGTCTATTATTAGATGTGACTCTGAGTGCTCTGAATGACTCTGATGTGAACAGTGATTTGGTGGATATTGAAGGGCTTGGAGAGGGTTCCACTAAAAAACCAAACTTTGACCAAGGTGAGTCACATTTTAAATGCAATGAGACATAATTGACCCAAAATTGAGAATTCTGTCATCATTTACCCTCGTGTCATTCAAAACCCTTTTATGGTTAATTTGTATTTATTATGAAGCTACAAAACAGGGTTTCTGCGGGTCTTCAAAAGTATCAATTCACCCTTCCACAAATTTAGGCCTTAAAAGTTCTTAAATTGGAGCAGAAAGTCTTAAATTCATAAAGTAATGGCATTAAATCGTGCATGCGCTGCAAAAATGTAATATCTTCCTCTGTATTTTTGTCTTGTTTTCCAATACAAATATCTAAACATCCTGAAAGCAAGACACATTTACTTCAGATGCAAAATGAAGATAGTTGAAGTTTTGTTTTCTGAGAATGTGAACAAAATTAATTGAATTTATGCTGAAAACAAGAACAAACATGTCATTGGGATCAGAAAATGTGTTTTCCCTTTAAATTAAGTTGTTTTGTCTTGAGCCCATTGGCAAGTATTTGTTTTAATCATAAACTCAATTCACTTTGATCAATTTCACAGAAAACAAGACTTCCAATCTTATGTGATATTGCTTTTCAGTGTATGTTGATTTAAGAATAATTATATATTTGCTCTGGGAAAAAAAGGCAAACATACTGAGGAATTACATGACTTTTTTGCAGTGTGATCAGAAGGTACAGTAGAAGGTATTTCCATATTGTATTTCAACTATATATATAAATTAAAGTGATGGAAATCTGTTGTATCTGTTATATTTTCAAAGAGTAGCTCATACATACTCATTGTCTGCTCCTAGACATTTATGTTTAGAGAACATATTGACATATTGTGTTCCCTTCAATTTATTCCTTGAATTTTCTTCAATTGGTCTTAAAATGGTCTTTAAAATGTCTTAAATTTTTCTTCATAGAACTTGCAGAAACCCTGGAAAACTGTCAATCTATTCTTTGAAACTGCATGTAAAAGAGTGACTGTATTATTTAAAAATTGTCCTATATTTTTAGTGTATTATTCAGAATTGTTCCACAGACAGTGATATCACAAATGACATGACAGAATTTTCATTTTGGGTAAATTAATCCATATAGAAAATGTGTTGAAGTGGGTCCAATTTTCTTGTCCTTTTTTCTTGCAGAGAGCTTGAATCTGGACTCCAGTCTTATAATGAACTCCAGTGATCTGCCTCTGCTGTCCCGCTAACCTTCACTTGTCAGTCAAAGTGATATTCGGGGGGGGGGTTCAAGGGCAGCACATGTAAAGATTCTGCAGTTTGATCATTGCTGTACCCTGTTATACCTTTTCCACTGTGGGTTCAAACAGCACCAGATAAACCTGTACAACATTGCCAAGCATTTTCTACCCACGTCAGTGAAGATGAAGTATTACTCCATGAAAAATAACTGCGTCCTTAGCTCTTAAAATGCAGCAAAAATAAATAATGGAATAATGTTTTTAGTGGTTCATGATGTGTGATCTGATTTGCCCACAGCTGAAAAGGGGTTTGCAGGACAGTGGTGCAGGGGTCAAACTACCTGTAAAAATATGTATTTTTTTAATTATTAGGCCCTTTTGGCTGAAGTAAAGCTTTGTGAAGTGAGATGCTGCTTGTAATGAAAATGTGGCAGCACAATATCATTTTTTTTTACCATTTTCTTTCACTGCCACTGTATGTTAGGTGCAGCTTCTATTGTATGTATATATATATATATTATTTTTTACCATTGCAGAATAATTAAACAGGTCACTTCAACAGCAAACATGAGACATGCCTGCTTACATTTTTTATGAACAAAATGTCTCGTCATACAATTTCTTGGCTCAGCATAAAAAGACAGCATACAGATCAATAAAATGAGTTTTTAATTATGATCTTTTTCATAAGAATATATGGTATACATTTTATGGTAAATGACATTTTTTCGCTGATAATTGGACATTCATCTTGAGCAACTGAGAGGGAATAAATGTACTTTTGCTACCAATGTCAAAACGATATCCATCTTTCCCTTAATTTTTCTGGAACTTGAACAACCGATAGGCAAAACCTATCGGCTTTGGCATTTCTTTACAATGTTTTTCGTGTGCTCACAATCCATTTAGTTTCTTCACAACACCACTCAGTCATTTAAGGAGAACAGGACAAATCATGATTCTATCTCTGACACACAGATACAACAGATCCTGTCATAGTAAGTGTATGGCAAATCTGAAAAATAAATGACATGGTACTTATTCTAGATCAGTGGTTCCCAACCCTGGTCCTGGAGGCACCCCAACACTGCACATTTTGCATGTCTCCTTTCTCTGACACACCAATTTCAGGTCTTGGAAGTCTCTACTAATGAGCTGATGGTCTGAATCAGGTGTGTTTGATTAAGGAGACATGCAAAACGTGGGGTGTTGGGGTGCCTCAAGGACCAGGGTTGGGAACCACTGTTCTAGATTATACAAACGATTCAGAACAAACAGCTGTCAAGTCTTCCGTTCAGGTTCTTGATAAATACCTGGTATCCCAATGAACTTAACTGATTATCCAGATGAACGTGACATACTAATTCCAGCAACTTTAATGCATATTGCACATTTGTAATCACTTTTAAAAACCCATAAACATTGGTATCAAACTTTGAAAATCCAAAGGACCCCAATAACTGGAAATTGCAAATGACAGTGCAAGTAACTTTGGAATTAAAACTTCAAGACCTGTAAGGCATTATCATTGAATTTAAAACTAAATGAGTAAAAATAAAAGGCAATCGAAGAATGAGCTGTATTCCTCCTGATACATGAATATGAATATGGAAACAGAGGAACGGCTTCAAATGTCTGTTGTGTGACTTTAGAGACCGACAAGCTGCCGGTGGCGATTCAATAAAGACTTTGGGAATCAAGAATTGTAATATATTTTTACATTGACACTGAAGTACATACTGCAACCAGAGCCTTTTCACATTCATAAATAATGTAACATGCGCCACAATCTAACAATTTGCATAATGCTGTGATGTACCAGGATTAATTTGCTTTAGAAGGGCTTCCAGTTCAATTAACTGCAGCATGTCACTTTTTGGATAATACATTTTCAATGAGCTTAATAAAATCCATCCAGCTCAAACGCCACAATCCAGAACTGCTGCTTTTACACAAAAAGCAGATCAACTTAAAAGAGCTGAAAATATTTTCCAGGTGAAAGGATTCAAACAATTAAAACATACAAAACAAGACCCATTATAATAAAAGCAAATATGATCCCACTCATGTAACAGCAACATTGACATCTAACACTGTGCAAATAGTACAAGAGGAAGAGTATGATATCCGCTGAAACTGTGATTGTAGAAACGGTTTATCTTGCTTTGTAATGCAACAGCTCATCCCTGGCAAGTATCTTAACTCCTCAATTTCTGTACATAATTCACAATATAAAAGTCTTGTTTAGGGTTTCATTAGGAAGGAAAAACAGTTTGACTAATGATTTTCACACTGCGGCAGTACTGAAAAGCATCTTGCCTCAGATGGGATACATTCTAAGGCTCTAGGTCAGTTATTGATATGGACTTTTCACTGAAAGTGCTTTGCGTATACTCCAACATTGGATTGTAGATGCGAAGTGAGACATCTAGTCTTTACAGTACTTGTTTTAAAGGAATAGTTCACCCAAAAATAAATATTTTACTCAATCTCGGGCCATCCAAGATGTAGATGAGTTTGTTTCTTCATCAGAACAGATTTGGAGAAATTTAGCATTACATCACTTGTTCACCAATGGATCCTCTGCAGTGAATGGGTGCCGTCAGAATGAGAGTCCAAACATCATCACAATAATGCACAAGTAATCCACACGACTCCAGTCCATCAATAAACATCTTTTGAAGCAAAAAGCTGCTTGTTTATAAGAAGCAAATCCGTCATTTAAGGCATTTTAACTTTATACCATCACTTCTGAATTATTGTGAAGTTTTTAATCAGTTGTTTGGTCTCTCATTCTGACGGCACCCATTCACTGCAGAGGATTCACTGGTGAGCAAGTGATGTAATGCTAAATTTCTCCAAATCTATTCTGATGAAGAAACAAACTCATCTACATCTTGGATGGCCTGAGGGTAGATAAATTGACAGCAAATTAACATTTTTGGGTGAACTATTTCTTCAAGTAAGCGATAAGCGAATCAAAATGTGGGAGTTGCCTGAATTCGCTGGTATTTCCAATGATTTAAGGAATATTTTTTCAAACTCAAAAAGTTCAGTCCAAGCTAAAAGCCATATGGAAAAATAAACATATTTACAGATATCAGAACCCTCGGATAAAAGCAAGAGAAGAACATAGGATTAATACCTACCAAAATAATATTTGATTATTCACATATTTATACACATTTATACAAAAAGTTGACATCTATGGCCAACTGATTTTAATACTCTCTATCCTTAGTCCTTTTTCTATGCATTCAGGACGTTTTACCAGACCATTGGACCCTGCTAATGGAAGCTGAAGATGTGCCAAAATACAAGAGTTGAGGAAAACAAAGAGCAAAACTGGTCTTTCTCTTGAGTCTGTACACTGAGGAAAGGGTCTTTGTGTCAATATTCGCCAGGTTTCAATTACCTGAACACTTTCATTGCAATGTGTTATTGCAGATACTATTTCATATAAATAACACACTATTCCGTAGGCACAGAAGATCCATAATTATTCACAAATTACATGATAGCCTGCATGTTGTCATGTCAGATACATCCAGAAGATTTTGTCTTCTTCTATTGCATCTGGATTTCCTTTGAAATCAAAGTCACAACTAGGCCAAATTTCCTTCAGAAGGGATTGAGCTGAAATCCTCTATTCAAAGCACCAAATTAAAAGCAGGAAAACAAAACGGGACAGAACCGAGTTTAGGTCGAAGTTTGGTCTTCATTTTACAACACCTTGAGTCCAAAGCTCTACAAGGTGATGATGTGATGAATACTGGGGTTTAGATGCTGGGGTGGTGAGAGGTGAAGGGGGGCGGAGGGGAGAGGGACAGGGGGGTGGCCTGGGTGTTTGAACCGACAGGAGCAGTCCCAGAGGAAGAGTCCACTGACTGGGAAACACTGCATGTATGAAGAGATTTATTAAGTGCTGAACTAGATCCTAATGCAGCATGAGATTCTGTTCAGTTTATTATTTAAGCATCATTATAAGACTCACCTGACTGTGTAACTGGTTATGTGAGCAGGGTCTGTGACTCCAGCAACAAAGAGCTTTTTGGGCGGACCGTCCGATTCCACTCCACCTGAGTGGAGAAGATGGGGAAAAAAGACAAAGTAACATGACAACAAAGTCACTGGAAAAACTGATTAAAAGATGAGAATTTTAATACTGGAACTGAATGATGCTGCGTGCAACAAACAAACAGCGTCAACAGTGTAGCTCGATTCACAAACTAGTTGATTCTTTTGAATAAATCGGTCAAAATGACTCACTAAGTTGCTGATGACTCTTAAGTTTTGAACTTGAGTATTTTGTGTTACTTCAAATTAACCAAGAACTGTTACTATGTACTTATGAAATGTTAATAGCATAAATAGTACTTAAAATGCCTAAAATTAAAAATAATAATAATATAGAAAAATATATATAGTAAACTAAATATCATTAGAATTACATACACTACCAGTCAAAAGTTTGAGGTAAGATTTATTATAAATAATATACTTTTATTCAGCAAGAATGCATTAAATTGATCAAAAATGACAGTAAATACTTCTACATTTTTACAAAAGATTTCTATTTTAAATAATTGCTGTTCTTTCCAGCTTCCTATTCATGAAAAATTCCTGAGAAAAACATTTGTCACAGTTTCCACAAAAACATTAGTTTTTAACATTGATAATAATAACAAATGTTTCTTCTGCACCAAATTACAATTAATTTTATCATATTCGAATGGTTTCTGGGGGACCATGCGACACTGAAGACTAGTTAATTCAGCTTTGCCATCACATGAATCAATTACATTTTATTTTAAAGTGTTATATTTCATAATGTTACTGTTTTACTGTATTTTTGATCAAATAAATACAGCCTTGATTAGCATGTTTTTTCCCCAATGCCGTTTAAAAATCTTACCAGCCCCAAATGTTTGAATGGTAGTGTAGTTTTACTACATACAAAAAAAGATACTACCAATAAAATATTAAAAAGTGCTAATAATAACAATTCTTTCATTGTATTCATTAGGATTCCTATCCTTTCTGATAATTTTCTAATATTCTTTTGCAAATGCATTTAGAAGAAAGAACCAGAGTATCATTACCTTTCCTTTTCAAAGGTGCAACTGATGGCCATCTCACTCCAGAGCTCACAGATCCTCTGTTCAGTCAAAACCACATCAAAAGTTTTGTTCAGAAAAAGATATTTGTATCTCTTGTATTTTGAAACAAATAAATATTAGACCAAATTCCTGCTGCTATTGACATTTGAAGGATATACATTCTAATACTGTAGTTTTATTCATGAACATACCCTCGAAACCTTCGAATTGGACTGGGTGAGGAATTAGGTGTGACACCGCTGTCCTGGGAATGGAATCCCTGCATGGGACGTACAGAGTGAGGTGAATAACAAGAACGAAAATGGATTGAAACTGATGACCTGGAACTCGAACAGAGAGAAATACTCACTGGAGACAGATGGTCATGCCAATGACTCACAGGAGGGAAGGGAACAGCAGGCGAGGCACTTAGATGAAAGTGAAAAAACACCCCAGAAATTAAGTTAAAATAAGTTAATATTTTGATAACATAAACCTTTCATTTATGCACAATTTTGTATCTGGTTACCTTAGTCTCTGTAAACTCCCTCTCAAAGTGAGCTCCATATTCTCAATCTGGAAGACAAACATTGTACAATAAAACATCACTTGACTGAATTAATGTTTCTGAAATACAAATGTGACCCTTAAGTCGCTGGGGTATATTTGTAGCAATAGCCAAAAATACATTGTATGGGTCAAAATTATTGATTTTTCTTTTATGCTAAAAATCATTAGGACATTAAGTAAAGATCGTGCTCCATAAAGATATTTTGTAAATTTCCTACTGTAAATATATCAAAACTTAATTTTTGATTAGTAATCTGCATTGCTAAGAACTTCATTTGAACAACTTTAAAGGCGATTTTCTCAATATTTTGATTTTTTTGCACCCTCAGATTCAGATTTTCAAATAGTTGTACCTCAGCCAAATATTGTCCTATCATAACCAACCATAAATCAATGGAAAGCTTTATTTATTCAGCGTTCAGATTATGTATAAATCTCAATTTCGAAAAATTGACCCTCATGACTGGTTTTGTGGTCCAGGGTCACAAATATAAATTGTGCCTACTAATAAATCTCTTGCCAAAACTACAATGGATTCCCTATCTCTTCTAATTTTGAAGTATGCTTGAGAACTCCTTCGCTGCTGTTTAAAAGCATCACAGAATCGATTCTTTAGTTCTCACCTGTCTCTTGTGTTCGGATCTCTCACATGACAGGGAGAATGGGGACAGAGGAAGGGTCTGTAACACAAACGAATTGCTGAAGGTTCTTCGAAGTTTTTGGAAAACTAAATGCCCAAAACTGATATTCACAGACCACCTGAACACTCACCCGGGAGGGACAGCTCGGGTTTACAGAAACGCTGCTCCGACGATACCGAGCCGAACTATTAGAGCTGAATACTGTCGTCCCGTCGCTGCAGTGCCAGCAATCAACAGTTGGGAGTTTAAAAAAAATATTCTGGTATTAAATTATTAATCTACTTGATTGTGTGTTTTAAATGAATTCACAATGTAGTATTCCGTTCCAGTCACTCAGAAGAGAGTGCAGTTCTCTCACCTGACGTTCGTGATCATGGGGGCGCTGTTCGACCTTCGGAGGGCTCCTCCTGCGCATGCGCACTGGTCCACCTCCATCCTCTCCATAGCTCGTCCTCTGGCGCCGGGACTGCTCGTTACTCACGGCCGGGCTGAACGCGACCTGACGCGGCCTAACCCCCAAATCTCACCCGGCAAAAGCCCGACCAGCAGGCCTCACGCCAAAATACCCGATCCAATTTAACTGAATGAACTGCTTTCCCGTGTCTATCGCATTTTGTTTTATTTTCCAAACGAAATAGTGTCAGCTTGATACACTAATTTACTGAACAGCTGTGAGCTCGAGCTGCAGCTGGTTTATCGGATCGCACACAAACTTAGTATGAACTCCTCAGGTTGCTTTCGTCGGCGTAAACAGGAAGCAAATACAGTTATTTCTTAGCATTAAAGAGATTTTTCGTATTCAGACCACAAGTTATGTATAGTCGGCACTATTTCCAAAGCAAAGCCACCAACAAGGTCCTTTGGCTTTTTAATCCAATCCAATTTATCCAAACAGAGCAAATAAAACATCGAAAAGCAAAAACAGAACATAAGCGAATAAATACGGATAAAAGTGGTAAGAAAATACGCTTTCGGGTCTTTTCGGTCAAATGTCGTTATAAAGGTGAAGCTTTCTGCCACGGCTTGTTTTTCTTGTTTTTTTTTTTTTCAAGTTTACCTGCTAGTTTGTAAAGCAGTCGGAGAAATGACATAACACCATCCCGATCAAACATATGATCGTCGGCTCTGTCGGCGAAAGCATCCTCATCTAAAAGTGTCTGCTGATACAGTCTGAAACACGGGATACATTAAAAGTTTTCGGTCATTTCTTAATTTAGAAAATAAAACATATTTCCCGCAACCAAATAGAGATTGTGCATCCCCTTGTACAACAGCGCCTCGCTCTGGTCAACAAGAGAATTGCACGCAGAGATAAAGCACTGTGCTCGAGACAAGTGAATATGTGGCGTACAGCTACAGTATTTACTGCTTATTCTTCTGCCAATTATTCTGGCCTTATTGCAAGATATATAGAGTTTGCTTTTCAGATTAATCTGATTAAAAGAACACGTAATACGATTAATGAAAGAAAAAGGCTAAATATTACAGATTAGGGTTATTTTCATTGAGGATTAATTCAAAAGAGTCACCTTGGGATGCATGACAGTCATACTAAACCATCACACATCAGCAATACACTACAAAACTGTATTTGAACAAAGTAAATGTATTAGATGTTAAATGCTGTAAAAATATTGTTAATTTTTCGTTCATGATTCCTAATGCATTAACTACTTTTAACAAATCAAACCTCATTGTAAAATGCTGCCAAATAAATTCTGTCAATGTAAATTACATTCATATAACAAATATGGATTTTGCTTTAATTGTGAATTTGTATATATTTTACACTATTACATATTCAAGATTAACCATTTACCACAATGGTATCTGAAAGTGTGTACATATTTAAGGTAAACATATTTAACAAAATAAAATTAAAAAGTTAATTTTATCATAACATTCATGAAACAAATATCTACAGCTGTTTATGAATTGGTCATTTCTTATGAATTTTAATCTCTTACATATCCAAGCATGACCTCAGTGGTAGTCTGAAAGTGTGTGTGTATTTCTTTTAAAACCATGTCTAACAAGGTAAACATCAATTTAAACAAAATAAAATTAAGTTATTTATAAAGTTTATTCTACCAGTGTGAACAATATTTCATAAAAACAAATGTCTGGTGTTGCTTCTGAACTAGCAAATGCTTAGGAATTACAATTCAAGCATAAATGAAGCATGATCATTTACAATGAGCTGAAAGTGTGTGTGTTTTTGAGTTTAAGCTTTAGTTTGAGCTTTAATTTTTGAGATATATTAAAAATTAGTTTTTATTCACTACAGGATCTTTATGAAATTGTAAAAGTATGCGGAGTTCCAAAGTTTCAGGATCTTGACAGCATTCTAGTCAGTTAGCAATTAATAAATTATTTTGTGCTTAAGAAATGCCAGCTTTAAACTTTCATGAATTATTATTTCAATAATATTTACTGATTCTGAATTTTTTGCTCAGCAAATATCCATCCCAAACACAAAAACATTATGTTTAAAAGAGGTGGGAGGATAACTGCTCGGTCACCTACTAGCATAAAACATACCGCAATACTCAAGATTGTGTGAAATTGCTCAGTAATATGAATGAATAATAAATAATATGAAAGCTATAGCATTTAAAGTAGGTCTGTCCCTTAGAGATCGTGCATTCTCGACCTCATCTATGTTATTCCTGAAGATTTCGAGTCACTTTCATGAGCTTCCTCTGCTTTATGTGAATTGCCTTGCTCTTGATCCTCAGCCTCTTTCTGTCCTCCAAGAATCTGTAAAGGCCAGAGCAGGTGGGTGTTATGACCGGCGTTGGTCCGTCCACAGCAGGCTAAGCTTTTGTCTCCTGTTATGAAATAAAGGAGGGCATTGAGCCAGGAATTGCAGGAAGCCAGCGATTTTGTAGCAAATGGAAACCATCCGCATGGTTTGGCACTCAATGGCCTTCGTTTCCTTGAGGACGAGGAAGAGTGTGCGTGTGATGTGGAAGGGCAGGAAGCACAGCGTGAACAGGATGGTGATGGTGATGATGGTTTTGATGGACTTGCGCCGCCTGTTGAGGTACGCACCGTACAGACGTACACCGTGTTGAGAGCCGGAGATGGACACGGATGTCCTGTCTTTGACCCCTTCGATCCCGCCGCACATTCCCCCTTCCTCTTGCACCTGTGGCTGGGAGTGAAGCGTCTGAAAGATTGTCCACACCACCTGCGAGTAACACCATGCAATGACGATAAAAGGGAAGAAGAAGCCCAGAAGGTGTAGAACGATTCCATAAGGCACGTATTCAGAAAACTCACTATCTATTGCGTCATCCCAACAGTTCCTGTATACCTCCACCTCGACTTTTCCAGCATTTCCGCTACTTTCCAACCAAGAATTGGTTCCTTTGTTCATCCCACCTCCGATTTTCCTCAAAACATCCCATTTTGGCAAACCGGACGATTGGGCATGTAAGTATGAACACTATGACCCAAACAGTTGCGCAAATGCCCCTAACCGCCCGCTTGCTCTCCAACGCCATGGTTCTGATCGGATGGCAGATGCCCATGTAGCGATGGACGGATATACAGGTGAGGAAGAAGATGCTGCAGTACAGGTTGAAGTAAAACAAAAAACGCACCAGCCTGCACATGAAGTCTCCAAAAACCCAATGGTCACGCATCACGTAGCTGGCCACGAGGAACGGCAGCGAGAAGCTGTACATCAGATCCGTGGAGGTTGACCATGTAGATCAGCGAAGTGTTCCACTGATGGCCGCTCCTGCACTGGTAGGACCACAGGAGGACGGTGGAGTTCAGGACGAGGCTGAGCAAGAAGGTCAAGGAGTAGCATAGAGGCGAGATGATATACTTGTAGGACTCGTCCATGCGGCAGCTGTGCAGTGCGCTGTGGTTATGAACATCTGGCTGCAGTGATACGTTGGAGATTGAAGTCGTGGTCTTCATGATCAGCTGTCCTTGTAACTTCAGAGCCACATCACTGTCTTCTTGAGACCTCTTCAATTCAATCTAGAAGCTCTACATTCTTCAACTTTCAGGATATCCTGTGAGGACATCGCTCCAAGATGGAGAAAACAGAGGAACGTTACATATTTTTACCATGATTGCATTGTAAATCTGAACTTTCTGGCAGTCTGTCCTATATTTTATTTCCAAGCAAACTGCAGGTTGACCAATGACTCAGCCCTTCATCTTTATCTGTCTATATTGCTGAATCGGCCTCTTCTGGTCTATTACCCCATCAATCAGTAACAAACCATTCTGTAAACCCTTCATTCATCTTTCCATCCCCCATTTTTTGAGTCCCATGTATTGGACGAGTTCTTTCACTTCGCAGTTTTTCTTCACATAAATTAAGAACGCGTCACCTGACCCAACTGACCCCGTTTTAATAAAAACTGCGAAGCGTGTACATTAAGATGCCTAATTTATGGCTAGACATGGCTGATGCATTCATCTATATGCATGGTATACCTACATAACATGGAGCAGTAATGCCAATGTCTCCATGTTTGGTTCATGAAATACTTGAGTTTGTTTCTTAATGAATATGCTTGTGTACTACAGAGGCCATTTTGGTATTACAATATCATGTGTCTTTGCAGGTATGTTCCAGTAAATAATTAATTCCCATTCATTCAGACAAGAAATGCATGCAGTTCAACACAAAACTGTGTTTATCGATTATAAACACCATGATTTGTTTATTAAAAGTTAGAAAATGTAAATTAGCAAAAGTGTGATAGTATTATTGAGATCAGAAAAGACTGTATAGGTCATCCTTATTCATTTAAAGCAAATTTCTTTTTTATAGTATTAAAGCAAAGTTTGTTCTGATAAATGTAGACCACTGAAAGTAGATCTAAATGAAATATCTTACCTGCTTAAAGGTCAAGAAAAAAGGTAACTTCAATGAGCAGCCAAAATGCATTCATTTCTTCACGCATTTGATAATAGGTCAGGTTGAAAAGTTCAGTGCCGGGTACTTTTTGCTGCACTTCTTGAACTACAGTCCCTGTTTACGAATTACTTTCTCAGTTTGGTATCCAGATCTGCTAGGTTTTACTAATCAGTTCTCAATCAGTGATTCTGTGTGCCTTCTTCTTTTCTCTCTGGTCTCTGTGCCCTCTCTCACTCCCTTGCTGTTCACTGTGCATGAATGGTCAGTCAGTCAGCTGAGCCGCATGCAGTTGAGTACATTTATGTACAGCAACCTTACGGAAACACACAGGTTCACTATATGTAAAACATGGAATTTAAAACATACCAGGGCTAAACAAGTTTTGTCTTAAGTCATAACCCTCACCAGTAATACTCAGTCATTCATTAACATCAGACCAAATATGTGTTCTTATTAACTCATATTATACTGTATATAAATTAGCATTTTCATGAATGGAACAGTTCACAGAGAAATGAAGATTTACTGAAAATGTACTCACCCTCAGGCCCTCCAAGATGTAGTTGAGTTTGTTTCTTCGTAAGAACATATTTGGAGAAATTTAGCATTGCAGCCCTTGCTCACAAATGGATCCTCTGGATCATCAGAATGTAATTAAATGAATTAAAACAGCCGATAAAAACATCACAATAATCCACAATATTACTCCAGTCCATTATTAACATTTTGTGAAGTGAAACAAAATACAAGTCCAAAATCCATAATGACACTTCTCCCAATGTAAAAGTTCATCCTCCGTTGTCCTCTCACATCAAAATGAATCAACATATTTGTTTAGAGCTAGTTTTGATTTGTAAACAGTGCTTGATCTCTGCATTTTTCTCTTCCGATGAGACCATTTTTTTCATTGAAGAAAGCAATATTATGGTTAGAGGACTCGTATTTTAGCCGGAAGCAATTTTGTGTGGATTATTGTGGTGTTTTTATCAGCTGTTTGGACTCTCATTCTGACGGCACCCATTCACTGCAGAGGATCCATTAGTGAGCAAGTGATGTATTGCTAAATTTCTCCAAATGTGTTCAGATGAAGAAACAAACTCATCTACATCTTTAATGGCCTGAGGGTGAGTAAATTTTCAGTAAATTGTAATTTTTGGGTGACCTATTCCTGTAATATAATGAAAGTCACTTCAAATCAATACTGTGGGAAATACTGTGTTGAAGAAAGTCAGCAAATTACACATTTATTCTGCTACAAGTGTCATTCATACAAATGCATAATATATAATATATACAATACACATAATATACAATGTGCATTTTATTTGATTTATTATTTAATTAAAAAGAAATACCACAACATTAATTATGACTTTAATCTATAATTCCTTTCTGGGATATTTGAGGCACCTTCAAGAGGGTGTCTAGCAATCCGAGGAAACACAAAAGGACCTTAAGTATC